AGGGGGGGCGTGATATTTAATTTAAGGTTTTTAGACGTTTCAACATTTTTTCTGGACTTTATTTTGTATTTTCTTCAGATGATCCAGAGGCAGCTGCAGCAGGTGGAGGAGAAACAGAAACAGCTGGAGGAGAGGGGGGTGGGGCTGGAGAGGGTCCTGAGGGGGGAAACAGGTACTCTTTACTTCCTGATGTCCAACAATATATAAAATACACGTCTGCACGATCTTCTGTTCTATGGAGGGTTATTAACGCTCGATACCGAGGACGCTCCGTACGGAAGGTCATTATGTAAGGACTGTGGATTTGATGTGTTTCAGAGTTTTGGGGCGAGTCCCCCGACAGCGAGGATGTGGAGCTTCACCTGGAAGGTACCAGACCCCAGATAAGACCACCAGTACACCTGCAGCATAGAGCATTAACTGATACACTCTCTGCAGGTCTGGGGAAACTGGACCACCCGGCGCTGATGCAGCAGTGGTTCCTGTTGGTCCAGCAGAAGAACTGCCTGCTCCGATACGAGTCTGAACTCATGATCTCGTGAGTTCCTGACCTTCAAGTCCTGCAGCAGAACCAGGACTGTGTGGTTGACATTCAGCAGGGCCTGGTTCCTCTGGATCCTCAGGTGCAGGTTCTGGTGGGTCCTTGTCTGAGGGTTGTTCCTGTGTTTCAGGGCCCGGGAGGTGGAGTTGGAGGACAGGCAGAGACGCCTGCAGCAGGAGCTCCGAGACCAGATGGCCGTGGAAGGTGAAACCACTTCCTGTTCTTTTTAGACAATAAAACATTTAATATGACCAGGTCCTCCTGCTCTTATTCTGAAGGGCTAACCTTTATTTAACCTTCGTGTTTATGCAGACCACCTGAAGCCGGAGGTCCAGCTGCTGGAGGAGGTTCTGGTTCTGCAGGAGCTGCTGGAGGTGGTCCAACAGAGAGACTCTCTGGTGGCTCAGCTGGAGGAGCACCGGCTGCAGGACCAGGACCTGGAGGGGGTCCTGAGCCAGGGACTCGGTCTCACCTGGCCCTGAACCAGAGGACCAGGACCTGGTTCACCTTTGAATGTTTCTGAGATCCATGAGGAACAGAAAGTCCAGTTCTTCAGTTATTTTTGAGAGTTTTGGACCGGGTCTGGCATGGAGCAGAGCCGCCCTACAAAATGAAATACTTAGTATTAAATGTATTTATTTGTATTGTGCCATCAGCTGTGGGCCTTACCTCCTCTCATCCTGTTTATTAATAAAACAAATGTTATATTTCCTGGTTTACATTTTTGTACCTTTAAAGTAGAGACACTATATACTGATATACACCTGAACATCAGCAGGAGAGGACTCTTTAAAGTAGAGACACTATATACTGATATACACCTGAACATCAGCAGGAGAGGACTCTTTAAAGTAGAGACACTACATACTGATATACACCTGAACATCAGCAGGAGAGGACTCTTTAAAGTAGAGACACTACATACTGATATACACCTGAACATCAGCAGGAGAGGACTCTTTAAAGTAGAGACACTACATACTGACATATACACCTGAACATCAGCAGGAGAGGACTCTTTAAAGTAGAGACACTACATACTGATATACACCTGAACATCAGCAGGAGAGGACTCTTTAAAGTAGAGACACTACATACTGATATACACCTGAACATCAGCAGGAGAGGACTCTTTAAAGTAGAGACACTACATACAGATATACACCAGGGGCCGTATTCACAAAGCATTTTATCTTACCGCTAGGAGTGCTCCTAACTCGCGCTAAAACATTTTACGTAGGAGTTTTTTCTTAAAAGTTATTCACAAAGCCGCTGAGACCTACT